GAAGGGCCTCTGCGCTCTCCCTGGAGCTTCTCCTCTCCAGGCTGGACACCCCCAGCTCTCCCAGCCTGGATACAGAATCCTGGAATGGTTTGGGATGGAAGGACCTTAAAGTTCATCCCATTCCACCCTCTGCCATGGGCAGGGACACCTTCCACTAGCACAGGTTGCTCCAAGCCCTGTCCTGTCCAGCCTGGAACACTCTCAGGGATGAAATGTGGGATCCAAAGCTACTCTGGGCAATCTCACCCCAACCCAATTCCAGTGTCACATCCATGTGCTGCCCCAGAGCAGCACTGAGACATCACAGAGCTTCCTCAGGAGAAAAAAAAAAAAAAAAGGTATTTTTTAGCTTCTCAGATCAAGAGGGATAACCTAGATCAGCTGCTGGGAATGTCAAGCTGTGCCAACCGGGATGTGGGATCCAAAGCTACTCTGGGCAATCTCACCCCAACCCAATTCCAGTGTCACATCCATGTGCTGCCCCAGAGCAGCACTGAGACATCACAGAGCTTCCTCAGGAGAAAAAAAAAAAAAAAAGGTATTTTTTAGCTTCTCAGATCAAGAGGGATAACCTAGATCAGCTGCTGGGAATGTCAAGCTGTGCCAACCGGGCTGTGGCACAATCCTCTAGGCTTCCAGGAAAGCTTCCTGAGCCTCTCCCAGCATCCAGAGAGGACAACACTGTGTTCAAGCTTCATTCCTGCAGCCTCGGAGTGTCAGGAAAGGCACCAGGAACGGGGAGGAAGCAACACAATGTGCTTCTCAGTCTCACAACTTCATGCCAGAGGAGCTCAGGAATCAATCCCTAGGGATAAGAGGTGCCTGTGGAGGGTTTGTATTTGTGATCCAAGCAATTCCCTTGCTTGGAATTCTGTACACCATTTAGCCTGTTTATTCCACATTCCTTCAGAGTGTTTTTTTCTCTGTATCACTACTATCACAGGATATCCTGAGCTGGAAGTGACCCACAAGGATTGTGGAAGTCCCAACTCCTGAAAATTATGGAGCAAGATCTGATGGAGGTTGGGAAGGAGCAAACACAACCTCCAGGGAATAGTGACATCCCAGACAGGTCCAACAGCTTGGGGAACACCTCGTGGCTACCCTGAGCTCACACTGGTCCCCAGAGCTGAGCACTGAGGGAGGACAACACATCCTACACTGCCTCCCACTGCGACTTCCACTCCCAAGTTCATCCCGGTCAGTTCCCAGATGTTTTTGAGGATTCCTGAGGCTCCAGGGGTGGATTCAGTTACAAGAACAACATTCCCTGAGCCCAGACAAGGTCAGTCTCCAGCTGAAGGTGTTTGTGTGTTTCCCATTTGCTCTGAGGCAGCTTCAAACCAAACACTCAGCCAAATATTTGTGCAGCTCATGGTGGGGATGGAGTGATGCAAATCAGGTTATTCCCACAGGGAGAGCTCCCAGAGCTGGACAGGAATGGCCATGGAAGGTTCCAGGGGGACAAAGGGGAGGGAAAGAAGAGATGCCTGGTTATCCATCCAGGGAGGAGACTGTGCCCCTCTGCACTGCTGAGAACCTCAGCTCTGGGCACCAATAGCAGGAGGACATGGAGCTGTTGGGAATGAATCCAGAGAGGCCACAGAGATGCTCCAAAGGGAGGAGACTGTGCCCCTCTGCACTGCTGAGAACCTCAGCTCTGGGCACCAATAGCAGGAGGACATGGAGCTGTTGGGAATGAATCCAGAGAGGCCACAGAGATGCTCCAAGGGCTGGAGCCACTCTGCCCTGGAGCCAGGCTGGGAGAGCTGGAGGGGTCCAGCCTGGAGAACAGAA